GGAATCTCCACACCTACTTCTTTTCTACATAGTCTTGCCGTGTTGCCCAGGGCAGCCTGGAGCTCGACACCTTCCTCCCTCAACCTCCTTGAGTCATGGGGATCAAGGGGACTTGCCACCATGGCCATCCGTAAGGTTGAAAGAGGAGTGGAAACTCAGGCCTTCCTGTGGTCCAGCCTGCAGAGCACAGCGTCTGGCAGGGTGCAGCACTTTGGCCGGGCCCAAGTGGGCTCCCATAGACTACCACAAATGAATTGAGTTCAGGAGAGTGGATGAACTCACTTCGGAAAAATAAATGAAACCAACAATAGAATGAAACACAGCAAAACATTGAAGGCCAATAATTAAGGACCAGAGAAAGATTAGAAGGGGCTTAGAGCAGTCAAGGAAAAGACAATATTTATTGTCAGATACTCATCTGATGTCAGGAAGGATTGAGGCATTCGTTGAATTGAGCAGCTAGGAGGCTGATTGTGACGCGGTTGAGACCAGTTTACAGCAAAATTATGAGTATGTGCACTTTATACTTTCATCGATGAGTCAGTGAAATAGTGGAGACTAGCATAGTTAATTCTTTTCTGTAAGAGAACCGAGATGCCCACTGACAGATACCCTTAGGTAGAGAAGGTTTATTGGTGGTGACTTCTTTTTTAGGTTTATCGTCTCAGCATTTGTTCTGAAAAGCTAGTGGGAAGTAGGAGGGGTGAAGATGAAACTGAACGCAAGAGACTGAATAATCAGTAAAGTCCTTGAGCTTGGGGTGGAGAGCGAGACGGGTAAAGTGGCAGAAATCGAGTGCGGGGATTAGAAGACAGAAAGGAACCTCTTCAGTTTCTAGTTGGATGTCTTGATTTATCATTTCAAAGTCGGGACGGTGCGAATGATGGCAAGGCAAGGCGGGAGAACAGAGTGAGCAGAGGTAACGCCGATCCTGGGAGGAGAGGTGCAAACCCTGGCTGGTCACTGCGCCGGTGGCCTTCGAGGTGCGACTGCTCACGTTGACATTGCTCATAGGTGGGATGGAGGGCTGAGGAAGAGGCTGGCTGGGAAGCGTGACCAGTGAAGTGGAAGGAGGTGAGCTTCAGAAGGGACACGTTCAAGAGTAAGGGTTTGTGGGTTTGCAGACAGTAGTGGGGGCGAAGAGGCCCAGGAACCTGATATCCCTGGGTTGTAGCCTCTGAGGCACAGTAAAGAAACAACTCATGCTTGAGAAGGTGGTTCTGTGGTGAGCTGTGCTTGAATCAAAGGAAAAGAAATGGAATGTCCACTCACTGAGGACGGTGGGGGCCTGGACCTCTTGCAAGCTGGACCACTTGCTTGGATCTAGAGTGAGCCTGATGGCAGAAGCGGGTGGTCTGAGACTTCCGATTATTTCCACGGTAATCAGTGTTCAGAAGACACGCTTTGGTTTCAGTTCTGCCTAACCAGCATGGCTACAGTATTTAAGTGAGTTCTTTGGTTTAAAATTCTCAAAGTTCAAATATTAGGTTGTCAGGAAAGTCTTGACATATATTTCTATATGAAAATGTGTCACGATTTTCCCGATGACTCAATAAGTTATGATCTATCAAGAGATATCCATCGGTAAAAGTTCAACATACTTTATGTCTGTAGTTCTCCTATATTTTATATATATATGTATGTATATGTATATATGTGTGTGTGTATGTGTGTATATATATTTATGTGTATATGTATAAAATATATATGTAATATATATGTGTGTATACACACACACACATAAATATAATTTACTTTTAAGAGAGATTTTTGCTACAAGGCACATGCTCTCACTGAGAAACAGACGAAGAGAAGAAAGTGAGAAATCACCCCCTCCCATGGGGGATGAGCACACCGCAGTCCCTTCTCCTCCATTCTCCTCTTGGGATTTTGAGCACACGTGCACAGGCGCCCGGCATGAGTTCTAAGCCGCTGGGTCTGGAATTCTAACTGTGGTTGGCCATGTGGGAGTCCACCCACCTAACCCCCTGGCCCCCTTCCATTTTAATATTAACATATATGCAAATCTTTCCAATAAAGTACAAATTCCTGTGTCAAGTTTTGCATTTAAGGATTTGTTTTCTTGGGTAAACTTTGTGGTTAGTGTTAGATTTTTGCCTAAAGCCTCTGGTGTTTATTTTCACGTCTGTTGGTTTCTTAGACCTGTTTCCGTTTTTATTCCACTTCTGTTTTCTCATTGCTCCCCAGGCGTGGGTGGGAGCGGGCGTTCGTGATTGCGCGGTCGCGGCCCCGGGAGGTCACGAGGGCCGCTCATGGCGCCCCCTGGCCGTCGCTGCGGGCACCGCCGCGCTCACTGCCTGTGTTCGCAGGGACCATGGCC